ACGTGAATTTCAAGCTCACTCCAAAGTCATTGCGGAGGCGTTCGTCTTCGGTAAGCAGAGCATCTTTAGAAGCCATAGCATCTAGAAGCCGCCGCTCGTCAATGAATGGAATCTTGACCACAGCTTCCCATTCCTGTTTCTTGCCATTCATATCCAGTGCAAAATCTCGGGGATAGAAATCGATGATGGGTGAATCTTTTGATGTCATCAACTCGTGATAAACTTCTGGGACAATTTTCTTGCTTCGATCCGGAAGAACGCCCATCAGCTGCTGAAATGGCCGGAAAGGTTGACCGAGTTTGAAGTTCATATCCGCGCCCAGACCTCTCTTGACGTCCGAAATCATTGGTGAGTAGTGATATTGATAAAACCAAGGCCATGAAGCAACGCCACGATAATAGTAGAAAAGGACCCATTGCAATCCCTGTACGTAGTTTTCCGCCAATTTCCTTAAGCCCTCTTCGTTCTCAAGGCCCCAGCCGAACTTTTCCTTGTAGTATTGATCTTTCCATTCCTGAAACTTTTGGTCGTACTTCTTCTGCATGTCTTGTTGCGCTTGCTCGTCGGTGCTCTCTTCGACTTTCGCGTTCTCATATCTCTTCAAGACCCGCATTATGGCCAATTCCGACTCTTCGTCTTCTTCGTCCGACTCTGCCTGTGCGCCCTTGGAAGGGAATTCCAACTGAAGGAAGCGGTTGCCGTCGCTGTCTTCCTTTGTGGACCACTGCAAATTCAAGTCGGTGGCGAGTTGCTGGACAAATTTACGATCTCGTGCCGGAAGTGTGGAAGATAGTTTGAGTGGCTGTTTTGTCGCCGGGTCCTTGTTGACAGGTGATATAAAGTATTTCTTCACCTCCTTGAAGAGCTGCTTTTGTTCAGGAGAGATCCTGACAGGACCACGCGAAGTTGTCAGTGGCTCGTCTGCATTTTGACCATTCCGTTTCGCGTCGATCCATTTGGCGCCTGCGTATTCTGCCTCAAAGAAACGATTTTCTACCTCCGCCAACTCATCCAGGAGTACTCCCAACCGTTGGAGGTTGATGACACCATGTTCGTTAATGTAACCGCCCAATGTTGGGAGAATTTGTTTGTATTTTTGGAACATGAGTGCCAGTGCCCCTTCGTTGATATGCAGATTTGGCAAGTTGGGTAAGAAATCGTTTCCAACAAAGAAAGCCATTAAGATGAAGTCGTCGATGATTCGTTCCATATCATAATCAAATTCAAGAGCGCCCGGCTGCTTTAGCTCTTGGAACTCCAGCTCCAGGTATTCTCTGACAATGCAAAGATGCATGAGGTAGAAATTCTGATGCTCTAACTCCTTGGATTTCTTTTGTGACTGTCTTCCGAAAGTAACTTCCTCGCGAAGCAAGCAGAAGTGTGGGTCGTGGCTCAGCAGACCCAACATGATCAGATCAGCATCCAGCCCATACAAACAGTGACGTACATTGGGGTCGTAGTCAGGCTGCGCTTTGGCTTGTCGGATATACTCCATGATTTTGTGTTCCCCTTCTCCGGGAACTTCGTGACCGGACAACACGACCTCGACACCTTGCCAATCGACGTCTTCAGAGACCTTCTTGCTGATGAAATACTTGAGCTGTTTAGTAAGCCTGGCCATGAATTCTGTACCAGGGGTAATGCAATTGCTGTCAAACGGATCTTCCTTGGGCAACTCCACGCCTTCTTTGATTGCCTTTTCACGAGCCTTCTCTGCGTCGAGGGCGGTACGAAAGCGGCGAGAGCGCTGTTGATTCATCTTGGCCCGGGGTGCCACTCCATCGACGGCCATGAAAAACAGCTTTTTCGGTTTTATCTTGCCGAAAAGATGCTCTATATAGTTGAAGATGGCGATGAACATCTTGTCCTCCGTCATCCGGAAAGAAGGGGAGTCAGAGTCCTTGTGCGTACAATTGTGAATGATGCCATTCATATCGAGGTAAAGACAGTCGAATTCTGGAATGCGGTTCTCTGCGATCAGCTGTGAGATGGCAGGGTATCGCTCGCTGAGCCATCGGAAGAATTTTGGAACACCCATGGTGGCGGTGGGCGTAGAACCAAGCGACGTAGGTTGAAGTCGGTGAAAAAGAGGGTATACGAAGCTGCTACTTCTCGAATTTCACATGCGAAGGGCGCAGGTCGCAGATGCGCAGGGCTCAAGGCGCGTGTTCTACAGAAACCACCTCTACTTGAAGGTAAACGATGTTTATTGCGGGATTGATGATGAGTCGAGGCTGAATGTCGAGGATCTGGCGACGGCATCGCCACTTTTGCGGTCTTGGCGAGCTAGTCCTGTTTTGGCGGTTCACTTAACGCGTCGGTCCCAGTGCGTTTCTGAAGTCTGGAGACAGCGCGTCGCTTTGATCAAGAGCTTCAAAGAGCACAGAGAAGCGACACCGAACCTATAAGCCATCGGAGTGGCCTGCGCCACCTTTTCGTCCTGAGATCGCCTCCATCCCTTTCAGTTCACACACGCTCTCTTCTGACACAGACAAAATGGCGGAGGACGACGAGAACAGTAAGGCCGCATTATTCACAGCGCAGGTCTAGCTACTAACCAGCATTAAATGTCAAGTGAGCGACCAAGAGTTCAACAATGAAGACGCCGAGACCGAGCAGAAAATCATCAATGAAGAATACAAGACGTGGAAGAAGAACGCTCCTTTTCTCTATGATATGATCCTCAGTACGGCCCTGGATTGGCCTACCCTTACAACCCAGTGGTTCCCAGACGTCACGGCGTAAGAAACCTGCTCTCCTCGGCCATTGTGGTATTATGGCTAATGCGAACAGGGTACGCGACACCGACTACTCCAAACACCGTCTATTGATTGGCACACATACGGCTGAAGGCCAACCGAACTACCTAGAAGTGGCCAGCGTCCAACTGCCCAATCGCAAGAAACCAGATGTGAAAGACTACAATGAAGAGACAGGAGAAATCGGTGGATACGGTGGAGGATCAACAGGCAAAAATCAAATTGAAGTCAAGTTCAATATTGTCCAGAAGATTGATCACCCTGGCGAGGTCAACAAGGCACGATACCAGCCCGACAACCCGAACATTATCGCTACCATGTGCACGGACGGGCGAGTCATGATCTGGGACCGATCGAAGCTTCCTGGCCTGCCTTCAGGAAGACCTAATCCTACGATAGAGCTCAGTGGGCACACCAAGGAGGGCTACGGTCTCAGCTGGGATCCCTTCCACGCTGGTCAATTGGCCACGGCCAGCGAAGACTTTACAGTCCGACTTTGGGACATCACACAGGCCACTAAAACTAACAAGTTACTCAACGAGGCTCGTCGTTACACCCATCACTGGGGAATCGTAAATGATGTGCAATTCCATCCCCTCCTTCCAAATCTGGTGGGAACTGTCTCCGACGACCTCACCATGCAACTTTTGGATCTTAGACAAGGTGAAACTACCCGATCAGCTGCCAAGGGCGAGAACCAGCATCGGGATGCAATCAACGCCATTGCGTTCAACCTTTCAGTGGATACTGTGGTGGCCACTGGAAGTGCCGATAAGACCATTGCTCTATGGGATCTCCGAAATCTCAAGGACAAGCTGCACGTTCTCGAGGGGCACAAGGACAGTGTGACGACATTGGAATGGCATCCATTCGAAGAGTCGGTTCTGGCATCAAGCAGTTATGATCGAAGGATAATGTTTTGGGACTTGTCCAAAGTCGGCGAGGAACAGAATCCTGAAGATGGTGAAGACGGACCCCCCGAGCTTCTTTTCATGCACGGAGGACACACCAACCGGATCAGCGATTTCTCATGGAACAAAAACCTTCCCTGGGTGGTGTGCAGTGCAGCGGATGACAACTTGATCCAGGTGTGGAAGGTTGCAGAGGCTATTGTTGGTCCTGACGATGAAGATGTCCCAATGAATGAGCTGGAAGGGTGAACGAAATCAAGTATACTGATGACGAGAGTGTCTGGCTTAGGCTCTGCGGTCTGGAGTCAAAGCTGACAAGTGGAAAAATGGTGGTTTGGGTCGAGCCTGGAGCATTTCTGGTGTACCAATACCATCATTTGCATTGAGCGTGGTTTCGTTGCGGGCGCCCGTGGCTTTGCATACTGGGAATGGTCGAAGCATCGGACTATCGAGAGGGCAGAGCAAGGACCATGGGTGGACATTGCTAAGTCATTTCACAGGGAACCAGCACCATGAGACGCGATTCGGATGGCAAAAGCCACCAGAACGAATTGTTTAATCGGATTCTAGCAGCGTGGTACTCATATTGAAAGATCTAGAATATCGCTCGTACTTCGTCTACAGGTGGTGTGGCTGCGCACAGCGGAATCAGCCGTGCAGGCACATGGGGGGACCCTGCCCAATACAGATAACGAGTCTCTAACAGTACCTACGCGCCTACATTTTGTAGGTAGCGAGGCTAGGTACTAGGATGGGCTGAAAGGGCTGCTGATGCTGAGCTTTAGTAGGCTCCTCAATTAAAACTGCGCCTCATTAGCCATAGTGGGCGTCTGGAAAAATGCTTGTCTGCGATCAACCCCTTATTGGCTTTCCCGGCCCCAAGTTCAAGGGGCCTGTGACACCTATAAGACTGTGCCACAGTTGATGCTAGGCTTGTCGTCATCGCCCACCGAGTCCCCGCAAGTGCCCGACAAGTGACCGCCCTTTCGGAGGAGCCCATTGGTTCTCGTATCCCTCGGCCCTGTCGCATCGACATCTGCCATCGTTCAATACAGCCGCTCATACGAGGTACTCCAACCCACTCGTACCTTGGGGGATGGACAGAGTCTGATCAGGCATCAACCATTCTCTTTTTCCCCCGGCTATACGACCACACGTGGTATCCAAGACCCATTTTCTAATGATAAAGAATGCTGCTGGCATGATTGCCCTTCGTCTGGAGTTTGATCACCTTTCGAGACATCTCTTCGCCCCCATTTCAGAGGACGCCGCGTTCCCTCTAAGAACCTGACTACCTCTTGCTCCTAATGCCTGTTCCCTCCCGTTAGGTATGGTCGGTATCCCAAGGAGCAAAGGCTGTCGCATATGCGTCAAGCGTCGAGTCAGGTGTGACTTGACACGCCCAATCTGCAATAACTGCGCCAGAGGCAACCGACCCTGCCCAGGATACGACTCCGATCTGAGGATTTACGATGAAGGCTCAAAACTCCGAAAGCGCTTTGGTCAAGGGGATGAATCAGAGTCGAGGACCGAGTCCGACAGCGTGTCGCCATCTACGAGCCATCAAAGTCAGTCAACAGAGTCTTCGCCCGAAGGTTCAACCGACCTAATCACCCGTTTCAATACGCCGGATCTAGAAGCACGTCACTATCGACCCAGCCAAGTGCTACCGGCTCGTAATACCTTTTTTAACATGCTAGAGAGCCAGATATATCCTGATTCCGATCTTTGGGGGGCGACAATTTCAACAACCGGCTGGGGCGGTCCTCTCGGTGACGACTCAATCTACCTGGAGATCCCGTCAAAAATGACACTCAATAACCCCATCTACTCTCCCAACCTAGTACAAGAACAACTTCTCAACACCTTTTCTTCCTCGTTGGGGGGCCACGGTCCACTTTTGCTTCCTCGTCAGATGCGAAGCCACCAGAATTGGCTGGCCCAGTTACCTGCCCTTTTCGGTACAAAACTCCTCGATACGGCGGTTCGCGCAGTCTCTTTGGTTCATTTGAGTCGAACGCAACGGACGGATGTATTTGTGCAAGAATCAAGACAATACTACGGCAAAGCGTTGCGTCTTCTCAATCAGTCGCTCACTGATGATACCAAGGGGATGTCGACCGAGACGCTGTCTGCAACGATTCTACTTTCATTCTACGAGATGTTTGCTTCCGACTCGAATCAGTCCTGGGTGCGCCATGCTGGTGGCGCCGGGACATTGATGCGCATTCGTGGACCAGACCGTCACCTAGCAGGACTGGATCGGGATGTCTACCTTGCTTACCGCCATACCATCGTCATTGATGCCTTCATGAGAGGAGAAGCCTGCTTTCTAGCCGAGCCCCAATGGATAGAAATGGCCAAGAAGATTCATGAAGATCTACGAGCCACTGGTATTCCTGACGAGCGAATGGGGATTTTCGACCTCGCCGAGGAGTTCTACATGGAGCACATCTTTATTCCAAAGACTTTACGCGATTCTCGGAATTTAGGCGAGGCACGACGGAAGTTGCCCCCCGACCAATATGCGGCCCATTTAGAGACGCTCCTCGCAAGGACGCGATTGCATAGAGCCAACCTCAAATCTATCAATCTAAGACTCCGAGCAGCCCTGAAGCAACAAGGCCTCGAAACCTTGTCAATGGAAACCATGGATCCCGTCTTTCCAAAACAGTACATCTTTGTCAACGTATTTGTTGCGTCAACCCACGTTGGCTATTGGACAATCATGGTCATCCTCAACCTCATTTTAAAGGACATCGAAAAAGATGTCGCGCCCGAGAAGCACGACCTGTACCTTATGGAGAATCGGGAAATTGCTCGAGAGATGTGTCGGACTGCGCCGTTCATGTTGACATCATCTTTTCTGGGACCGTTTTTTATCATCTTCGCTCTCAGACTGTGCTTGATGGTGTTCGAGCCTGGACTAGAAAGAGATTGGGTAGTACAAAAACTCATCCAAATTGGTGATACCCATATGAGAATGGCCTCGGACATCCCACCATTTGACCCAAAGTCAACCTTTTATGACTAGAGCACAGTCCACCCCAAGTTCGCTTTAGTTCTGGGGATGGGGAGAAGCCAATATACCTGTCGACCGATGACGGATTCAGTCGAGCAAATTGAAACCAGGACGGCAGCAGCACGGATCATCAGGGCATCTACCAAGGAACAACAGCGACTTCTCTATTGGCACATATCTCCAGAATATTCCATCCAAACAGGACGCATTGAGACCTTTGCCACCACTCGTGTTCGATGTTAATCACGAGACTTGGCAACGGACGAAATTTTGGGCTGTATGACCCACCGTAATGCTCCGCTCCTTAGTAATGGGCAAACTGTGAGTTCTACAACTGGAAGAATGATTGGGGTGCGATCAAAACACAGGAGATGTGCTTTTGGTCATGGCGGTCCAGACAAATGCCGCATGTTGTGTATATAAAGCCATGCATTGCACGTCCTGGCTTTCACCTTTATCGCTACCCCGGAGTGTCCTTCAGCAACGTACTCACCAACCACAGCACCATCTACCAAGAACCCGAAGAGCATATCAGCATATCGTCTGTCGGCATCCACAATGAGCACGCATCCCGCTGTTGTGACCGTTGGCCCAGGTCTGCCGCTGGAAGTGCTTCAGATGCCTACTACAGCACCAACTACAAACGAAGTTCGAGTTCGATGTGAATGGACTGCCTCGACGCCCCTGGACTTACACCAGGCTGACGGCGGTCTTCTGGTCAAACATCCGCAGATATTAGGCGACGGTGTTGCTGGCACTGTCGTTGAAATTGGACCGGATGTCACCAAATTGAAGGTTGGGGACAAAGTCTTTGGCTTCACCTGGCGTACCCCAGCCGAGAAAGCACATCAGGAATACGTGGTTGCGCCAGAGTTCTTGCTCGGCAAGATTCCCCCCAATGTCACAATGCAACAGGCAGTGACAGTCCCCAACAACTTTGTGACTGCATGGCACACCTTCACAAAGGATTTCGGTTTCGAACTGCCCTGGCCGAAACCGGAGGGATATACGCCAAGGGAGAGGGGTTCGTGGATATTGATTTGGGGCGGAAGTTCCAGCGTGGGACAGTACGCCTTACAAGTCTTGAAGTGGTATGGGTATAGCAACATCGTCACAACGGCTAGCCCAAAGCATCATGCGAAATTACGTGGCTATGGCGCAGCTGAGTGTTTCGACTATCGCGATCCAGGAATCGAGCAGAAACTTACCGCCTTCACGGATGCCCAGACTGGATCTAGTGGGTTCCATTTCATCCTCGACTGTATTGGCAGCCTCGACGGCAGTGTGGTGCCCATATCACGAATTGTGAGGCCACAGACCGGCGCAAAAGTCGCGATTCTGCTGCCAATCATTGTGAAAGACGCTGCTGAGGGAGTGAAGCCGATATACGAGATGGATGTAGCCAAGGCGGCCCATTGGCCGCAAGGAGTGCAAGCGGTGGGCGTTCGAACGCACTATTACTTGGAGAACAAGTTCCTGGCGGAACATCTGCAGAGTGACATCATGCCTGATTGTCTCGCCAAAGGTATTATTGAAGCAAATGAGCAGGTTATTGTCGAAGGGGAAACAATGTTACAAAGGGCAGAAAAGGCGTTGAAAATGCTACGGGACAAGAAGGTCAGCGGTGCAAGATTGGTGTGGCGAGTCTCAGATGGAATATGAGAAACTCGTTGACTTGCGTCTGGCGAATTCAAGTCGTCGTATCTGGTATGAAGATAGGGAAGAAAAGAGCGAGTATGAAGTGTAACGATAGAGGTACATAATATATGGCAGTATATTTGTAGGTTCTGTGTGATAATTGGTCCGCAGCGCAGGCGAGAGCAGTGGGGACCTTCACTCCATATTATTTCATGTCCAGATTCAAACAGTACAAACTGCACACCCAAACACCCCACTGCAGGTGCACCTGGGGACAACTTCGCAGCCGGAGAATTTCCCTTGATGCTATATCACTTCTTATCCTTGTCAAACCTTTAATGGCCAGCAACGCTGCGTGATCAATAATCACTCGGTCTCCTGTCTCCTCGCCCACTCCTCCTCTCCCACTTTCTCTCCTCGGTACCTCCGACCGCTGACCAGTTCAAGAACCGCAAGATGACACTCTGGGGGCAAGACACGGTCAGAGATGTCGCCGAATCGGTGGGCATCCTGAATCTGAACAAAGAAGTCAATCAGGCGCTGTGTCGCGATGTCGAATACCGCATCTCCCAAGTCCTACAAGAAGCGCTCAAGTTCATGAAACATGCCCGCCGAACCATCCTCTGGTCACAAGACATCTCACAGGCACTGCGCGTGCTGGACGTTGAACCTCTTTATGGCTATGAGTCTACTCGGCCGTTGAAATATGGGGAGGCGTCATTGGGACCAGGACAACCGCTGTTCTACGTGGAGGATGAAGAGATGGATTTTGAGAAGCTCATCAACGCGCCTCTCCCCAAGGTGCCGAGAGAAGTCACATTCACAGGTGCGTGGGAAATGTTATGCCTGAGGGACTCGTGCGACCATTTGCTGACCTGCGTTTAATGTAGCTCACTGGCTGGCTGTGGAGGGTGTTCAACCTTCAATACCTCAAAACCCGACCTCGACCGAAGCAAGGAATCTCGAATTAGTCCCCAAAGGACCGAATGCAAACCCTGCCCTGGCTGCGATGAGCGGTGCTGACAACACCACAACGACGAAACCTCAGGTCAAACACATCCTCTCCAAAGAATTACAGCTATACTTTGAGAAGGTCTGCGCGTCAGTGCTGGACGAAACACAACCGGAGTATCGCGCGGCAGGGTTGGCCAGCCTGAAAGAAGACCCCGGTCTACATCAGCTGGTGCCTTATTTTGTGCAATTTGTAGCGGAAAAGGTCACGCACAACTTGAAGGATCTATTCGTGCTCACGCAGATGATGATGCTCACGGATGCCTTGACCCGGAACGACAAACTCAATTTGACCCCTTACGTGCGTACCCTCTAACGAAATAGCAGATTGCGTGGGCTGTAGGCTAACTGGGCTGACAGGTTGCCTCAATGATCCCCCCGGTACTGACCTGCTTGATTGGACGCACTTTGGGCACTGGCATTGGGGCACTTGATCATTACGACCTCCGCGATCTAGCTGGGTCCCTGTTGGGCCATCTCTGCAACAAATACTCCAAATACTCACATAACCTCAAACCTCGTCTAGCGCGATCCTGCCTGAAGACCTTCCTCGATCCCAAGAAGCCATATGGCAGCCACTACGGCGCCATCCTTGGATTAAAAGCCATTGGTGGAGCGGAAGTGGTTCGACAGCTGATACTACCCAATGTCAAAGCGTATGGGGAGCTATTAGAGGAGGATATCCAGGAGTCAAGCATGAAGAAGGCCGAGGCAGAAAAGGTCGTCAGTGCGATCCTGAATGCCCTCGGGACACTGGTAGACGATGACATCCCCATGATGAATGGGCACTCAGCTGAAACTGCAGCCAACACACGGAGCCAGCTAATTGACAAGCTTGGAGAGGTTATTGGAGGCAGGATCGCGGATTCGGGAAACACGCGGTTCGCCAGAGCAGTGCTTGAGGGAGATGTCGCCGGGTTATGAGCAGTCAGAGGGTTGCTATGTGCAGGGGGCGCATTCTGAAGCATTTAATGTACCTTTAGACAGCAAGGCGTTGGAGGAAGTCATGGGGGTTTTGGAAAGGGAAAGAAAAGGCCACGCATGTTGTGATACCCGGACATTTGAATCAACTGGCGTTTTGAAGCCAGAGGTCTGTTGGAGTGAGCCAGGAGGCACGCGTGCGCGTCCGAGTAACACTACTATAGTCCTCACGTGCACTCGAGCTGGCCAAACACAGGAGGATGACGTTGTCCGAGCTGGCCTACAAAGCACATCCCTACGCACGAGACACGCATATGTAATTGTACGAGGTACAAGTACTCGGTAGAGGGAAAGGAGTTGAATCCTTTCAACCATGAAGACGAGATTTGACCATCACCTATCACTCCACAAGCAACAGGGCTGGTTGCGTGCGTGTCCACTGTCATTTGACTGTCATTTGAGTGACTGCGCCCTCACCGCCGCCGCTTCTCTACGATGCCGATCATCTCCCTGCGCCCATCCTGCGCTTGTCCACAATCGTCGCTTTCTTACCTACTTCGTTCTTTTGCTCACAGACCACTAGAGGCTCGTCATTTTGTAGGGCTGACCGGCTCGCCGACCTCCTGATGAGACTTGTGCAACACTACCGAGATTTGACTTCCGTTCCTGGCAATCGCTCCACCTCGTCCAGACCTAAAGAATCAATCTACGTCAATTCATCCTTCGTGCCTTCAGCCTGTGGCCCCTGACAAAAAAACAAATGGCCTTGTCTGTGGCCCAGGACACTTTGGCCCCCTTCAGCTGGTGTTCTACGAGTCCACGACCTGTGTGCTGGGCTGATCCTGTTGACCAATAGTTGATCCATCGTCGCCGTTTCATCCGCCATCACCAGCGCGAACTTTGCAACATCTGCCTTGGCCGCCAGCCAAATCTCCCTGCCATGCTTCCTCGACCGCAGTAACTACTCGTCGTCAGACCATCTCGCTTGCTCTGCTTATGCCGCATTGGTCCTTACTTTGGCTGACGTTTCACAGCTACTTTGGCGAGACCGAATCCTTCCCAGCCGTTGTCCCGGGCCTCACTGGTTTGCGGCCTTTTGTCACAATCACAAAAGTCGTCTTGCTCGTCCTCCCACACCGCAGATCCGGTTCCAATTTTCCCTCCTTTGATCTTTGCGTGCAAGCAACACACTCGTTTTCTATCCCATCTCCTTGCTTTTCATGCCTGTGCCTCTCAAGTTTCCTTTGCAGTAATGAAGTTCCTTAGCCTGATGACCACGCTTGTGTGGTCTGCCCTACAATTTCACCAAGTCGTAGCCTTGTCCAACATCACATTCTACTCTGACAACAAGTGCTCCCAATTCAAGAGTGTGACGACAGGTCCAGACGATGGTACTTGTACACCTTTTCCGACAAACACGCAGGGCTTTCTTAGTTTCATGG